GTTATCGAACATGCTTTTGTATAGAAAAAATTACACCGCCAACAAAACAAAAACGGTATTTTTTAGCCACCTCAAACTTGCACTTTTATGCTAAAATTTAATAGCCTACAAAACTGCATACTCAAAATCTATCTAAGACATCTCTAATCTTATAAAAATAAGTACACGTTTTTGGTGTGAGCTTATAACTTGAGAACGGCTTCACCGAATTCAACCAAATTTATACGGCATATTCAGGCTATCATGCAGATGGTTTATGTGAAGTTTGCCCCAATTCGTAAAAGGGGGTGTGGCACCTCCCATACTAACTAAAATTTTTATGTTGTATATCTCTTGAAATATTTGAGGTAGAGTATTGGAAATTGGTATAGAGGTATATCAAATAATTCCATACTCATGGAGAAAAATGGGCGGTATTGGAAAAGAGGGCGTGGCACCTCCCACCTTATATATAAAAAATAAGTGCAAGACTTCAACCAAATTTAAACGGTATATTCGGACTATCATGCAGATGGGTTATGTAAAGTGTGCCCGAATTCGGTCCAGCGGTTCATGATATATGACAGTTAATGTCAGATACATGAAAAATTGAAAACATAGAGAAAAATTGTTGCTATGGTGTGCTGTGTTTATTTTTTCTTCGGATAAATTAAGTCAAGTATAAACATGGCTGCATTATAGTAAAAAAAAAAACATTTCATATGGAAAAATTCCAGGATTTTTCATTAATTTTTCAATATTTGGTGTAGAGAAGCACGCCGGGGTACCGCTAGTTAAAAATAAAAGTTTGTTGTTGTTGCACAAAGTTTGAAACTTGGATTTATAATATTATTGTGGTTTTTGTTCAAGAATAAGCTATGAGTATATTTCTATAAAAAATTATTAAAATTATTTGAAAAAAAGTCATAACTGGGCAATAAAGGTCGCCCTAATCATTATGTCAGGCACTAACATCACTTGGTTAATCTGTTAACCAATCACTCTTTCAAAAATCTCCCATTTTTACCTTCCTTTTATTAACTCGGGATGTAACTATGTAATATTGATGCGCCTAAAAGATGCAGCGATTTCTATTCTCAAGTTACATACCTGATGACAGTGCGAATGGCAATTGTAATAGGGAGGTTTTAGTTTTTTAAACTATAATATTTTATTTACATACATGTATGCATGTGCTTTTGGCATTTACCATTTAATACAAAACGAAATCTTTTTAATTATAAATACAAAATGTTATTCAACTGAAAAATATACATAATGCAATATCAAAAATGAATGGCTTACTGAAACACTTACTTGCTAAATACTAGAAAATAGTATACATGATAATAGTATGTACATGGGTACATATGCACATAAATATATTTGATTGCTTGGCATAGATGAGTATGTATATGATTATATCAGTCATTTTTTGTAAAACAAATTATCTGGGATTAATGAAACAGAATATACACATAAATTAAAGTCGTATACAATCAGACAAAAAAAAAATCCTTTTCCTTTTTGATTAAAAAATTCTCGTTCATAAATAAAAACATACGGAAGTCCTTTGCTTTTTGTAGGCCTTGTTGGCCTCTATGCTCTTCCTCCTCTTCCCCTCATCTGTATCACTCTTTGCTTGCTACAGTCTCATAATGCGTTTTACCTGTGCCAAAGGTTTTCTTGTGCGCTTTTTTAATTCGCCAATTTGCAAACGCTTTTTCACACGCTTCGCAAACTCGCTCCTTGGGGATTGTTTCTCAGCGCCGGAGTTCTGTTTTTTACCATTATTATCTGTCGTTCTTATTTTAGTTGTTGGATATTCATAGATGAAACAATTCATTCGATACACTGGCGTAAAATTGTATAAGCTTTGTTGGTCTTCTTCCTCCTCCCCACAGAAATTCACTTTCCCTTTCTCCTTCTTCATATTCGTATCATCACTACTTTCTATTGTTGTTGTTGTTATTTCTTCTTGGCGTTGTTGTAACGGTTGCAAAAGGCTCTGAGCTCGATTATAATCATAACGTATATAAAAAATTATGTTGGGATTTGGAAAGAGTGTGAGGAAATAATCGAAAAGTAATCTATCGAAAATTCTGCCATTTTCGGTGGAGACTAACAGCGCTCTTTCATGCGTGGCGGGAATATTAAAGCGTTGGATAACTGTAGAAAAAAACCAAAGTTATTAAAACATTTTATTATAAAATACGCGCAGATTTAATTTCATTGTGCTTACTCAATTTGATAATTTGCTCATAACGATTGGTCGGCTCATAGTTGATGATGCTCAATTGCTTCCGATAGCTAACTTTCAAAACACCTCCCTCGCACATTTTCTTTGGATTTTTGTTGAAATATAAAACTTTTAATTATATTTGCTATTCACTTGTAAACTTTTTTCCCGGTTATTCCATAAATGCAAGCAACGGAGTTTCGCGTGCGCTCACTTTAACGGCTCGATTTGCTTTGCCAGACACTGAGAAGGTTTCTTTGTACGTGCCAATGCCAGGTGAGCAGGGATGAGCTCAGCGTATTGGCAGTAGGTAAACCGTAGGTATGTTGCTGTACCAAAAATATTGCATTCACTGCTCTCTTGGTACTTTGTCTATTTAACCACTGTGGAATGGTGTGGATGCGTTGTGCAAAGTATATTCTATTTACATATGTACGTTTGCATGTACGAAACACCCTCAGACGTTACAATGCATTTTGCGCAAAGAAAGGCAGTTCCGAGCGTACTCCTTTTGGTACGTGCGCTTCGGCTGGCGCTTGTTTTGGAAGTGAAGTGAAAAGGTAGCAGCAACAGCCGACTTCATTTGGACACTCTAAAAAAAAATACACAAAATATTCTTATTAAAATATGATAAAAAAATAAAGTAGCGTAAAACAAATTAAAATACGGTATAATAAAATGCAATAAAATAAAATCAATGGCGTTTTCGTTTCTTCAAAATGTGTTGGCTTTTCATTGCCCTCTTCTTAGTATTTATACGCGGAGGGCAAAGAAATGGTAACATTTCTCGATATAAAAGAAAACGCTATAAAATAATATGAACAAATAAAATAAAATAAAGAACAGAAAAAAATGCAACTAAATAAGATAAAACTAAATTAAAGAAATTGAACTGAAATAAAATAAATATGTAAAATAAAAAATGAAATGTACTGAACCTAATTGAGATAAATTTAAATGAAATGTACTGAAATTAAATAATGTAAAATAAAATATGCCAAACAAAAAATGAACGGAATCTTAAGGATTAAATTAAAATAAAATGAGATAAAAAAAAAATAAATAATTAAATAAAAGTGTAAGTACAAGAACAAGTTAGCCCTGGATGGTTCCCCTTTGTCCCCGTCCGTGAACAGAACAGAAAAAACAATGTAATAATTTATTTTTACAATATTTTTATTAATAACTTGACTCTTTATTAAATCCTTTAAAAAATAAAAAAATACACTGGCTTGTACAATTCAAATAGTGAAAATGTTGTTTAATTAAACCATGCACAAATATTTTTTACACTGTACCGTTTCACACATAAGCACACATATAGACATATGTACATATTTATGTACATACACCACATGCAAACATCTCTGACAATAAAAAAAAACGCCACTCAATTGCTGGCTTGGCGAGTGCCAAACAAAAATTGAATCATAACAGCCTGCTGCATACCGAACATTGGTTACTACCTCAAAGTATTCTCGTTTGCACCCACCACTGGGTTGTTGCTCTCGCTCTAGTTTTGTTGCCAGTCATGCTGCTGCATGTTCATTCATGTCGGCTTTCTTTTATTTTTGTTTTCCACTTTTCTGCCAGCCGTTAGACATGAAACTGATGTGTCATATTATCACCATGTGTACATACATTGTAGATATGTACACATCCACGTTATAAAGAGCTATTTTGTAGCAGACACAACAAACAGTGCATGTTGTTTGTGTAAATGTGATAATAATGCATTCAACTTACCTGCTAGGAAATGCTAAAAGTCATCCCCTCATTAATTGACTACGAAATATTTGTCGAATGTACGGTGCGAACATATTAAGTTTTTTAATATGTACCTACATACTTAAATCATTTTAAGTAAATATTTTTTTGACTTTATTTTAGACACTGTTAAGCTGTTGAACAACCCAGACGGATAGCCATACTTCACCTCAACTTGACCATAGCTTTATATGTATCAATTTATCTTGAACGCTACACAGTGTGGAAAATTAACTTTTTTGTGGCAAAATCTAATAAATATATCGGGAACGAGAACAGCAGGTGAAATACATTTAGAGTATTTTAATGATTTTAAGATGGAGAATTCAGTATTCCTCGTTGGATAAAAAATTAGCCTGGTATTTAAAATGGCCGTAGAAAACATAAGGGTTTCAACAATTCTAAATGAAATTGTAAAAAATATTTAAACTTATATTTGTTCTGTTCTTGCTTGAAGTAGGTTCCTTCCATGGCCGGAGTTCATTATATGCAATTTCCAAGTGAAAATAAAGGAAAAATTTAAAATTTTTACTTTTGAATCTCGTGTTTAAGGCCAAGTGAATTTTTATTCAACCTTCAAAACGGACTTCAAAAATAATTTGTTTTCTTTTTCAAAACATGAAAAAAATTAAACATCCATTTTTTAAAGACATTTGAAAGGTCAAGGTAACTTTCTTATCCAACAAGTTTTCCTGAATTCTAAATCTCAAAAGCTTTAAAATATCGCTGAATTTTTTTCGGTATCTGATATCGTTTTCGTGATATTAGATTTTATCACAAAAAAGTTTATTTTCAAAACTGTGCGCCGTGCGATGAATTGTTTCGTCTTATCGCAGCGCTGTCAGACAAACTATCCTAAAAGTAAATATAATCTTAATCAAAGCTCGTTAGTTAATCACTCCCTTTACGCAGTAAAATATCGGATTATTCGCTGTCAAATTTGTGTTGCTCGCAACTCAAGGAAAAAAGTTCTATTTCTTCTCTGTACCACTATGATCTGCTAAACTAAGCAATATAAATAGTATATTTTAACTTAATATTTTTTTAAAAATACCTTTACAAACCTGCTTTCCTTGCTAGAGTCCATTTCACTGTGTCGTAGCTCCATAATTAATAGCATTTAAAAAGATTTCACAAAATATTGAATTACGATGGATTCAGCAACAGCCCTGATGAGATTAGTAGATAAAGTTTTGCATTCGCGTCCATTATTTTGAAATCATGTTTCTACATTTTTTGATGTCTTGTTATTCGTTTATTTTTTCATATTTTTCCTGCAGGGTATGCTCACATTATGCATACATACATACCTACTTAAATACATACAATTAAATTTGCTTGTATCATGTAAATATGTATGCACTATACTATATTACCTGTGTGAACTTTGCTTTTGTTTAGCAATTCTTTAAACTAAAATCAGCTGACTTCATTTAATTTTCATCAAAACAAACATAAAGAATACCCAAATGGCCTCGGGCCATTTAATATGCCTATTATCATCATTATTATTTTCTAATTTTTCATAAAAAAAAATATTTTCATTTGGTTGTGATCTCGATTTCGGGGATCGCTTACATTTTTAGTACACATTCTATTTCCTTACTTAAAATAATGGGGTACTTTCTTGCGGTGATAGCTGTAACGCCTCCTAAAATTATGTAAATATTTTGCAAAGATAACAGCACAGCGAGCAGTTTTTGTAAACATCTCAAAATTTTGTAATTTTAATGGGATATAACCATACGGTAGTGAATTTAAAAACCCTTATTTTGATGAACCACTTCTTTTGATTTGTTAACTTACTCCGTGAATATTAGGAATTGAGGCGGTTAACCATTTTTCGATTCCAGTTGTAGATTTGATGTGTAATTTAGTCGCTAACTCGATCGAGAATTTAGTTAATTTCTTACAGAAAGGCACCACAAAACGTTAAGCTGTGCCGATTTAGCTATGTCTGTCTGTTTAACGGTTTGAACGGAATAGAGTCCCTCAATTTTCGTGATATTCGACTGAAATTTTGTAGGAGAATGTATTTTTGTAATGTATTAATCATTTGTCGGAACCGTCAAAAGCTCAGTACTACAACATATAGCTTCCGTACGAATGATTTTTCAGATATTGGAGTTTTTGTTATAACTCCTCCATATACGAAGATAGGAACATGAAATATCGCTCTATTTTCACTAATTATCAACAAAAAACTTACAGTGAAAATG